CTTCCATAAAACCAATATGGAAAGCCAATGAAAAGCAGAACTGCCCTGGCCAGAGCTGGCGTTAAGAGCTAGTCCTAAAGAACCAACCTCCGCTGCCAGCCACGGCCCCTCAGGCATCACCGCAGACCCTGGGCTCTGGGGATTTCTGGAAGAGCCTTCAGCTAGGCATTGATACACTGAGTCCTCACAATCTGATGAGCTTTATCATTAATGTCATTTTATAAGTGAAGAAACCCCAGCCAGGAAGGAGTAAATGATGTGTCCAAAATCATAAAGCTATTAGGTTCAAAAGCAAGAATTCAGCTTGAACCTGCCAGACTCCAAACCCACTTCTTTCCACAATGTCACCTGCGTCCACCACAGCGGGCTGCTAGGCTGTTAATATTTAGAAACATGTTTGGATCTTTCCATCCAGGCTTGCCCGACTTAGACAATAGTGTGTCCTCTGCCAGGTACGTTCTTAGCTCTCCAAGGCCGGCGGAAGCCTCATCCCAGGGCTTTCCAGCCAGTTCTGTTTGATCAGATAGCACCAAAGAGTAACAGTAACGGTGAAAATAGCTAGCGATATGGTGTCTTCCTGTGCTGGCTGTGTGCCGAACTTTTTAAATGGATTGTCCCGATTATTTCTCATGACAGTGCCATGAGGTAGGCACTATTATTTTATTACCTCACCATTTTGAAGATGAGAAAACTGAGCACTGCAAAGGTCAGCTCATAAGTGGTGGAGACAGGATTTGTCTTGACAGCTGTGTGGTGTCTTTTCCCTCTTAACACACTTTGGTCCCTACTGGTAATGAACCTGACACCTTGGCATTCTATACCTCTTCAAACCACGACCATGCTCGTAGCTAACTGGGTTGCCTTTCCCTATTTTTATATGACCTTTTTTTTTATAAACTAACTCCTGCTGGGCAGTAGGTACTGTAGCTTAATGTGTTATGCCTCCTGGGGAAACAGATTAGTATCTAAAGCGGAATCTCCAAAGAGAGATGATCCTTACTACAATGTAGTGAGTAATGGTGGTGATGTCAGACACAGTGCCTGAATGATGATGGTCTGGCTATTTCGGGCCCCATAAGCCTTCTCCACTGAAGCATCATCTTGATCAACATGGTAATCTATTAAAATGTTAAAGTCGATTGAGTTTAAATCATGATCTATTGGAGGGCAAAGATTATTTTAGTGAATGATCTTTAAAAGGGAGCTGGATGATGCCTTTTAAAGTAAAAAAAAAAAAAAAAAAAAACAGTCTTGCTTCTTACCTTTGAGGACCAGCTTGTGTTAGGAATTTACATCAGTGATGTACATCNAAAAAAAAAAAAAAAAAAAAGCAGTCTTGCTTCTTACCTTTGAGGACCAGCTTGTGTTAGGAATTTACATCAGTGATGTACATCCAGACTTCAGCAAATCCCTGGAGCCTTGTCTGATCTGAAAGATAACTATAGACCAAGTCAGAGCTTTCCTGGAGGCTGAATTATTACAGGACTCTCCTGAGAGTCTCAAAATTAATCTAACACTATTCATTTATTTCTTAAATATATTTTGTATGTAGGCATTATATTAGCTTCCTTAGGTTTTGGGGGGGTTTTTTTACTGTGGTCACCCTATAAAAAGATTGTATTTATCCCATAATGGAGTAAAATCTCAAGGGTAATCTTAGATTTTAAGTTCTTACAAAGGTCAACAGTGTTCTATTTACCAATATATGCAAGTAGTTATTACATATTTTCAAAGATGATACTGATGAGTTCCTGAATTTGAATCGGCCTCCAGTGAATGCGTGATGGGAAGCCTTTTGCCCCTTTCAGCCTGGAGTTTATCTGTCGTCATGTGACATGAAAATGGCATGACCTGTGTAACCTGGGTAACCTACTTCTTTATAAAGGACAAATGAAAAGATGTATAAGGCATGCTTGTTACATATCTGGAAGATACAAAGCTGGGAGTGATAAATGGAAGACTAATATATTGAATGATAAAAGTAGTGATGTAAATAAGAATACTGTGCTAAAACCAAGATGTTGAATATAATGGGAATAAATAGAAAGTCTTGCATATAGTTTTAAAAATTCAAAAATGTTAAGTTCAGGATAAGAGAGAGCTGTAATTTTCACATTCAAAAAAGTCCTGCAGATTTTTTCATTAACCTAAACCTTCACTCAATATTCTGAAATACTTGCTGAGTACCAGGCACCAGGTGGGCCCTGTGGGATCTTACCTCCCAATGCACCTGCAGATGCAAGTTAATTGGCCAATAACCTGCAGCTCAAGGGAGAAAATATTCCCACTGACTAGATCTCATCAGGAGTAGACATAACACTCTAAGAAGGTCAGAGTTGATAAAATAGCTTATAGAAGACGGAGACTAGACTGGTGAGTGACAAGGAAACTAAGCTGGATAGAAACATTGAGTGACCACAGGATGTTTAGTCTAGAGAAGAAAAGATTATGGCACTTTGATGGTTGTTTTTTAGCATTTAGGGAGCTATTGTGTGACTACAAGAGGAGCCTTAAGACTTTTTTGGGTTATTTTAGTTCAACCAATGGGGTGAAAATTAGAGAGGGGCAGATTCATTTCAATGTCTTTAAGCGTTTTCCTGCCAACTTTGAGAAAGGCTGACTCTAAAGACACCTGGCCCTTTGAGGATTCCAGCAGAAACTAGCTGACCATCTGCCATGTAGACCACTCCCTCTGGAAAGGCTGCTTTGTCAGAAAGTAGAATGAGTGGTCTCTGAGGATCTCTTTCATGTTAATTCTTTCATTTTTATTTTTCAAATTAACTGGGAAGTAACATAACTTTTTATACACCTTCCTTAAGCCTTCAGACCCCCAAGCCTACAACTAATAAGTTTGTTTCCCCATCTTTCCCACCTTCACCGGTCGAGACAACTTTGACTTAGTTAACAGAATGTCATAGAAAATATACTCCTGACCCATTTGGAACAGTTAAAAAGACCTAGACTGTGTCTCTGTTCATTCACCAGTTGGACATGTAAATATCAGTGACCACCAAAACAGACAAGAAAGGGGAAATCTTGCCTTAGTTGACGTAAATAGAGAGAGGAAGTTCACAGACCAGAGCCCATGAGATGGACCATATACAAGGCTCCACATACCATCTGCAGCTCTAAGGGGTGGACTAATGGTGCCCTGAGCTGTGTGAGTGCCAGAGGAAGGGAGCACCTCTCAGCTCCTTGGAGCTGCCTTAAAATCTACTGTGGCTGGATTGCTCGAATTTCCCAGTCAAGGCCGGCATCTTCTGGACACTTGCTGTGTGCCCAGATGTCATCACCCAGCTAAGAGGAAGATTTACCACAGCCTCAGCTGCCCATTTCTGTTGCCAACTTATAACCAAGGAAACTTGGCCAGAAAGTTGCCTTCACTACGACAAAAGGTACAGTTCTAGGGGAAAAGACTGATGAAATACTTCTGCCAAAAGCAGCTGTCACCAGAAACCGTGCATTTACCTCTTTATTTCTTACCAAATATATCATTTTTAGCATCACGTCAATCTGTTTAGTTTAGAAGGGTGAAGTCTTACTATCTGAATATCTTGTAGGCTTATATTTATATAGGTTTACAAGTAAACATAGATACAAGCCCAGTTTTAGTTATTACCATCAACCAAAAATCATGTTATAGTGAGGAAATATATTTTATTTTTAAAATCGAAGTGCTTACATGACCTAAAAATAATTCTTCAGAATAGTAACAACAGCCACTAGGAAGAATTGGCTAAAACACAAAGTTAGTTGTGTGATTGCAGAGTTGTGGAGACTTTACAGGACTTAAAATAGTTACTAATAGTGGCGCTGTTTTTCAGCGAGCAGTAAAAACCCATAGCATTTTATATTATATCTGGTAGCTTTGCTGAGTACAAGAACCATTAAGTATTATAGAGAGCAAAATGCGTGATAACCATGTTATATATAAAAGTGTAAAGAGAAACATCACTATTTCTCATGAAGGCTGCTACCTCCTACTAATCCAGCAGCAATAGGTGTGCTCAGTAACGAGTGATGATGATGATGATAACAGAGAGGAAACAGCAAGAGCCAGTCCCCTTTTCCAGCTCATTTAAGGGCTCACCCACTATTGTATTAGACACCAGCATACCCCACCCAGAGGCTGAGGTTGTTTCCATATAGCATACTCAGATCATTCCAAGGTAGTTCTTCTTTGTACTTGTAGAAAGTGCAACAATTTACCATTGATTTTTGTTTGGTAAACCCACTTTGATAAATTTTAATCCAAATGCATAAACCATTTTAACATAAGATGAATGACAAGCCACCTGAAAAGTAATACTAACACTCCAGATACTCATTTAATTCATTCGTTGAATTACTTTAACCCTCACAAGGATCCTATGAAATAGGTACTATAATTATCTCACTTTAAGAGGGGGTAATTGAGGCACAAAGGGTTTTAAGGAACTTGTCCACGATCACACAACTAAGAATTGGCAGAGCCCGGCCGGGCGTGGCTCAGCCGTTGAGTGTCGACCTAGGATCCAGGCGATCAGGGTTCGATTCCCGGTCAGGACACATGCCCGGGTTGTGGGCTGCATCAATGACTCTCTCATCATTGATGTTTCTACCTCTCTCTCTCCCTCTCCTTTCCTCTCTCTGAAATCAATAAAGATAAAAAAAAGAAAAAACAAAAAGAATTGGCAGAGAAGAGATTTAAACTCGGACCGTCTGGTTGGTTCTCAAGCCCAAGTACTTAACCAGTAAGATGCACTGCCCCGCCAGTAATGGTATGTAGGTAAAATTAATCCAGTGCTTAGTCGTACCAAGCACTATGTTAATCCCTTTATACACATTAGCACATTAAGTTCACCAGTTGGGTCATCTGGACACAGCTAAGAGGGATAACAAAAGATTCAGCAGGTCCCCTGTTGATTGGCATAACAGCCTGGCGTGGCCGTGGCCTCTGTGTGACCTGAGGTTGCAGGACGTCAGCGGTAGGTGGTTACCGTGTCATCTCCTCCTTCCAGGGGTGGAATGGTCCAAACCAGCGAGCAGTATGAGTTTGTGCACCACGCCCTGTGCCTGTATGAGAGCAGACTTTCGGCAGAAACCGTCCAGTGATTCTCTGAAGATTTACCAGACCGTCAATCTCCAGGGGTGACTAATCAGTTACCCACTTGAGGCTTCTAGAAGCTTCCAACAATGAAAGGAAAGTGAAGCCCGACGTCAAGCTGCGGCATGGCCTGTGGAAGGTGGCAACATAGTAAAGCTTGCCAGCCCCTGTGTATGTGAATGAGTTTGTGAGCATCTCCTGCGTCATGTTGAAGGTCCTATACTGTTGGAGGAACGATAGACTTCTCACACTGCTGAGGATTTCGTTTTGTCTGTATTGATGATCTGCCACACAGAATGTGTGTGAAGCACTCAGTGGTGCATGTCATCACATGATGACCCGAAGGAGCTGCTGAAGAAATTATTATTGTGTGTTTAGATGCTTTAATGTCTGCAAAATCTGTCTTGTGAATGGACTGTCAGCTGTTAAACTGTTCCTTTTTAAGTGCTATTATCTTTCTCAGTTACCACAATCTTGCCGCTGAAGTTGCAAGTGATTGATAAAGGATTTTTAACAAAGAAGTCCTTGTTTTTGAAAATAAAAATAAATAAATCAAAGCAGTAACTATTTTATATGGAAATGTGTCTTGATGATATTACCTATGAAATGTGTATTTATCAGTACCTCCTATCCATCAATTACAGAGCACAATGACTGTCGTTGGGTGTCTATGTATCTATTCTCTATTATTGGGCACAGAGGTGGTTTCTGCTCCAGAACTCTGTTCACTGTGTTTCTATATTGTGAGTCTCTTTACTGTAAAAGGGGAAAACAAATTTGTAGCAACTCTGACATACCAAGAATTTTAGATATTTGTCTGTCTTTTACTAAGGAGTTTTTGAGTATGCTGTCTGCCTAGACTCTCTTGCCCAATAAAAGGCAGTTGCTTTGGGGAATGATGTCATATGTCACATGTCCAGAAGTTCTTCTAAAGGATGCTGCCATGGGTATCCCTACATTTCTGAAAGGTTTTAATCTTCGAGAGACAAGTAAAGCTAAAAACAACAACAAAACAAAAAACTACACTCAGCAAACACTAGCTGTTCTGCTCAAATATGAATTTTTAATGCAGCTATGTTGACTTTGTTTCATACTGCCAATAAACGACTCTTAATACTAAATGTTGAGTAAAGCAGGTACTTTTTTTTCCTGTTTGGCGAGAAGCTGTTATCCTTTGGGGGAAGTCTGAGTAGATGATGCGAAGGGTTTAATTTTAGTCCCTGCCTCTCCGCAGTGGAGATGACTATCTCGAATGTAATACCTATTGTCTGACCACGCAGTGCTGTCATTCTGTGGTTTTCCTTGATAGCCTCCCAGCGTGTCTATAGGAACAGTACATGGCTTACATCTTTCTATTGCTTGTCATAGACCCTCGTAAATCACACGGTTTGTGTTTATTCAGCAGAATCACATCACCTGAAGAGATGCAATGACGTAGGAGCACTCAGTTATCTCAGATTACAATTCCTCCCTTCCCTCTTGAGGTTAAGAAGTGCCGAAGGGATGGATGCAGGGAGAAAACTTAGGAGTTTTATTCCACTCTTGGAGGCTGGAATTTTTTCTACATAAAAAAAGAGAGGTAATCATAATCCCTTCTTTCTAAGGAAACAGACAAAAGGACACTGGTGTGAAACTTCCCCAAACAATTCAATAGGAGGAAGCGCTCGTCACTGACTTTCCCCCCCATGAAGGCCCACTTCCTTCCCCGGCTCTGCTTCTCTTATCTGGGAGAATTCTCCCCCCCAGCGAAGCATGAGCGGTTGTTAAGTGGAAAATGGAGGCTGAATTTTACGTGGCGATCCTCACCTGCTTGGTCTTCGGGAGCTCAGGTGAGTGGGCCTGGCTCGGTGTCTCGCCGTGTTTCTCCAGCAGCTGGCAGATGAGATTCTGTCCCTTGAAAAGTGCCCGAAATGAGGCGGAAATGGAGCCAGGTCTCCATGGCAGTTTAGCCCAAGATGAGGAGGAGGTGGGGTAGAAGGAGCCAGCTCTGCCCACACGGCTGAAATTCTCCAGAAGAAAGGAGAAGCCCCCTCATGTCCTGCCCATGCCTCAGGCAGCTCCCGAAATGGCATCTTTACAGCAGAGAGCAAAGAGTCCTGAGGAGATATTTCTATTATTTTATAAGAGTCTGGGGCATTCTCCATGCTTTTTTCCAATTAAGTTTTGATTTTGTGTTTTTTTGTGTGTGTGTGTGAGTTAAAGAAAGAAAATATAGGAAATAGCATGAAAGGGGATGAACAACTGTGGTGTGTTTAATTTGGAAGTTGTTATTTGGCAGGAAGTTCTGAATATTTTCATGGGAGAGCTGGGCAAATGAAGTGAAAGCACATTAAAAATGGTTTCTGGGCCCGACTATCTTACTTTTTAAGACTGATGTTTAACAAGTGGGTGCTTAGTTTCCTTACAACAAGAAAGGCTGATATTTTAATCTGTTAGTATTTGAGGGAAAATTGTAGATATTGTCACAAAATAGAGAAATGCTTCTCTGTAGGACTATAAGAAATTTAGCTTGTGACAATCAGTTCTTTCATTGGTTACTGTCAGCTAGGGAGGTGTGCTTAGAAGGGGGTGACAATTTGTTTTATCCTGAAGTAAATGCATCCAGTTTTGAAAGTTGTGTTTAAACTATGTAATTTATATACAAATATTTGTTGCAGTGATAACTCAAGGGGGTCGAGGTGAGATGGAAAGAATAAAATGGTTAAAAAGGGACCTGAGCTTTTCATAATTTCAGCATATTTAACTAATTGGACTAAAACATCACGCCATAGTCTGGATGGTTTTGTTTCTTTTCCAAGCTTCCTTTCGTTATTTCAGTGGGGGGAGGGGCGGTAAGTAAAGGAAAGGGAGCTAAGTGTGACCTTTTGACATTTTTACATTGTTGGCCTTGAGGTATTAAGCTCCAAGTGTTGAATCTGGGAATATTCACTTGAAATGAGAGCAATAGCAAAAGATAAGTAAACCTCAGTCTTTTCATTTGGCTAGTCTGTGGGTAGGTTGTTTTGTTTTCTGATGGGCCTTGTAATTTGTTACATGATACTAGATGAGCTTTTCATCTTCCAGAGGGGTTTCAGATCATCCACACCAAGACACAACAGTGCCTTTTTGAAAATAAGATAGTGTCCATGGGCTTGTGCAGTGGGACCAACCAGAACCAGCAGTGGATGTGGACTGAGGACGGAAAGCTCCTTCATGTAAAATCTGCCCTGTGCCTGGCCATCTCCAATTCCTCTGGTGGCCCTTTCCGATCAGCTATCTTTGCCCACTGCTCCCAGGCACCCCGGTGGACTTGCGATGAAAAGAAAGGGTTCCTTGAGATAGAAAATACCTCTCTCTTTCTCAAGAAACAAGGCAACAAGGCAGTGGTCAAGAAGGGCAGGAAATACCTCCATAGCTGGATGAAAATAGATGTCAACAAGGAGGGAAAAGCAGTCAATGAAAGCCTCTGCTTAAAAAAAGGTGAGCTCTTCCTTTCAGAATCAGTTCTGAAAGTTCTTCTGCTACATGTCTTGTTTTCTCACATTCAAGAGAAGTCTACATTCCCCAACACAATTTCTATGGGAGATTCATAAGCTAATGCAAATGGATCATGTGGTGCCCACCAACCTGGAAAACGTCATTATCCTCATTAAAATAAGCCCAACTTTTCTCTTTTTGTCTGTCTCTCTCTCTTCCTTCCCTCCTTTTCTTGCTTCTTTTATTAATTCAACAAATATTTCTTGAGTTTCTCTTTTGTGCCAGACACTAAGCCCTCTAGTTAAGCACTGTAAGATATATGAATATAGATCTAGACATAGGTACAACATACATGTGTAATGACTAAAGCCAATGATCAGGAAATGAAAAATTTTGCTGATGTAGACAATTCTGTTCTCTGATTATGAAGAACTAGAACATCAAAATGGTGCTTGAGAAGACTGAAAAGATAGTAAATTGTGCTTGTGCAGAACTCCCGCACTAATGTTTAGGGGTAGATATCTTTTGAAATGGTAAGAACCAATGTGTAGCCACAGAGTTTCTAATTTGTTGACCATTGATGGTTATAACCTAGATGATAAACATGTGTAAAGACTTGTATGCAGGGACACAAATTCCTAGTGCGGCACACAGTTTAGTCCTTGGCGAGAAATTTTTTATTTGTGGATACAACTTAATTTTCTGTTTTACTTAATCATTGTATTGCTTACTCCTCTCTGAGAGATTTGCTTTAGGAAGTCATGAAAGATAAAATAGAATGTCCAGTGTACATTCCATTGTACAGTGTTTCCCAAAGCTTGACTACAGGCTTTTGCCCAATTGGCTACATAAGAATCGCCTGGGGGAGGGGAGAGAATCACCGCCATCATTTCTTCTCCCACTACCACTTCCAAGGTTGTATTTCAAGAAATATGGATTTGGGCATAATACTTTCTGTGTTTAAAAAAGTTCCTCAGATAATTTATAATTTTGCTCAATAATCCCACTTGGAGGTCAGCATATACAGTTTCTGTAAATCTTTTTATTAGATGTTGATTTTTTATGCTTATATGAGTCTTTTTACCATGCTAACATTTGGATAGCTTTCTGTCACTCATTCTTTTCACAAATTAAATAAGCGTTTATTTAGATGCCAGTTAAATGCATTGGGCTTTTTTATGATAGAAATTGAGTATTACAGTCCCTATCCTTATAAAACTTCTGACTATGAGAATAAAGTAAAAATATGAGTCAATTAGAAAATTCAACTTTTTCAGATAATATGCAGCATATAGCACTGATGTGTGTAACTTCTTTTCTATAATTCATGTTGTAAGGCCTTTCATAAACCACATGGAGTCATTCTAAATAGTCTCTATATACCGCTATACGCAGAAGGGAGATTCGTCCCCAACTCTCAATCAAACTTTATTTAGGAGAATATTCCTTCATTGAAACTTCTAAAAAGTAGATACAGATTAGTGCAGAATTATTCAAGACAGTAGATAATTCATGGAAAAACCATCTCCTTTGACCTTCATACAAAACATATCCAATGATAGACTTCACTTCAAAAACAAGGTGGATAAAAACAACCACTTACAGTTAACCACTGAACAAACATGCCTGGTAATGTGTGTTGGGGAAGAAAGTTGGACTTCTAGGCAAACCAGGGTTAAAATTTACACAGTTGTGGTACAAAAAAATTATTTTGTGAATTTACATAGGTACAACACTTGCTTTAATACAATTATAAGGTAACAGGCCCATTTTTCTGCTCCATCTCAAACTTACCATTAATTAAAGATGCACAATGATAACAGTCGACCCACAGCACGAAAGCTCACTGATTTGCTAGAGAATCTGTTGTGAAAAATTAAATTGCAGTCAGAAGTTTGCAATAAATGGTTCCAAATCCCCTTTTTAAAGAGTTGATAACTAAATGTTATAATATAAAGCACAAATATGCATGTTGTTTATCCATAAGATGTGAATTATTTTAAGTTCTTCAGTAAAATACACTTTGTAAAACTTTATTCTTTTTACCATTCCCAAGAGTTATTTATTTATTTATTTATTTATTTTATTTTATTTTATTATTTTATTTTATTTTATTTTATTTTATTTTATTTTATTTTTTATTTTATTCCTCACCCCAGGACACTTTTTCCATTGCTTTTCAGAGAGAGTGGAAGAGAGAGAGAGAGAGAGAGAGAAACATTGACGTGAGAGAGACACATGGGTTGGTTGCCTCCTACAGGCTCCCCAACTGGGAGTCGAGCCTGCAACCATGGTACATGCCCTTGGCTGGAATCGAACCCAGGCCCCTTCAGTCCTTGGTGTGAAGCTCTGATCACTGAGCCAAACAGGTCAGGGCTCCAATAGTTATTTAGACTTTTATATTCTCCCTCCCTTTCATTTCACTTTTATTCTAGCCCAATCTTCTTTAATATATTTAATTTATTCATATATGTAAATATATGTACACATATACATAAATTATCCTTTTTCTAAGGTGTCATTTGTTTTATCTCTTTTCCATATTATTTTCCCACTTTTAAAAGGCACATTATATTTGGCATCTTCCTAGAGTATAGAAAGTATTAATGTAGTTAAAATTTTCTACCTCCAAAATGAGCTTTATTCAAGTTATTATGTTTTCAATGTGCTTGACAATTATTAGTATCACTTAAAGGAAGGAAACTAACAAGTTATGTATTGCCTTTATTATCATTACACAAAATTCCATTTCTATTATTGATTATATCTGAGCCAATCTTATGCTAATTCATAAACAAATAGACATTGATTTTTTAAAAAATATATTCAAAATATGGTCTTAATACGGTGTGGTGATTGCAAATCATCTTACAGGTAAACTATTTGCAACTTAAATGCTAAACTGTTTAGACTGGCCCAGGATGGTCCACTTTTTCTGGAATCGTGTTCCAAGAGGAATTGCGTATAATGTGAAAACAATGTAGTAGCAATGGTACAATAAAGCTTTTTAAAAATAGCTTCAGCATATTGTTCCATTGTGTAAGAATTTTTCCTTGCATTTGCCAAACCACATCTTGCTCTTTCATGAACTTTAAAATGTATATACCTTTTTAAAACACATCAGAAGAATTTATAGATACCAAAGCACCCAAAGATCTACTATTTTTATGATTTCATAACACCCATTTCAACAAAGAGGTCAGGAGATGGAAAGATAAACTTATTTTCATCACTTTATATATTTCTATAATGGATTTTCTTTCCGTCCCTCTACTTTGTAATCTTTTAATACCCACATAAAGAACTATTAGATTTCAGTTTCAGTCACATTGTGTATGTGAATAAAATCATATACTTAGATGTATATTAGAATCACCTGAGAAATTTGTTAGAAATGCAGGTAGTGGGTCCCACACCAAATCTACTGAATCACAATTTCTAGGCAGAGGGTCAAGTCTTCAAATTTGAACAGGCTCCAAAGGTGATTCTGATGCCTGCCAAAGTTTGTAAACCACAGCTTTAAAATTCACAAAATTGGGAAACAATGTTAAACTAACATTGCTTCTTAAATAGCACAAGTTAAAAACACAGAAACAAAATGAAGGAGTACTTAACTTTGATATTTTGTAGGTTCTTTCTTTTGTAAAAAGGTGGTGGCCTAAAATGGAAATGGACTCTTTGGTTTGGGATGTTTTATAAGTAAATTTAGAAGGTTAATTAAAGACAATTACAGAAGACTGAAAATTTTTCCATAAGGTATTCCAAAGCTACATGCAATGATCGTAAGCTATGCTATTCGCAGAGGAAATTTCAAGAATGTTTTGATCATTTATCTCATTTGGGGAGAATCCTGTTTCATCCATTGAATTAATTATGTAAGTTGGCAAATTTTTTAAAATATTCTTAGGATAAGCACTTAGCAAGTGCCCTTAGCAAGGAAGAGTAAACATAGGTTGACATGCTAAGACACCAATTACATGCTAGGCGTTTGGAAGCTTGGTTTTGTCCTAACCCATCATTTAATTTTTTTTTTTTTTGGAAGTTCTGAGAGCTAAAATTGTCATACGTGGTAATCAACTCAGAGGATCACCATTGGCCAAAGCTCAAAATGACCAATATACTGATCTCCACATACAGAAATTTTATATCCCAGCAATATACAAATGACAACTAAAGGGACATTCAATCACCTAACTCAATTAAGACTAATTCATGGAGTTGGAAATCTCCCTAACATTACAGTTGGGTTTGTCAGGTACAGTTGGGTTTAACACTCCCGGGATAAATAAATCCCCTGGTCTAAGTTCAGAGTGGCTCACCTGAGCACAATAGCAGTGATAGTGGCACAGGGTTCTGAAAGATAAAAACAAACAGAAACTAAGGGGAATGTCCAAAAATCTCTAAAAGCCTAGATCTAGTAGCNGATAAATAAATCCCCTGGTCTAAGTTCAGAGTGGCTCACCTGAGCACAATGGCAGTGATAGTGGCACAGGGCTCTGAAAGATAAAAACAAACAGAAACTAAGAGGAATGTCCAAAAATCTCTAAAAGCCTAGATCTAGTAGCTGTGCAGCAGGGTTTACAAAATCACACAACACCCAGTTATATTTAATTTTCAGATAATGACAAATTTTTTTAGTATATTTTTAGTATACAATATAACTTTTGTAGCATTATGTATTTGAGATATATTAAATATACTGAATTATCAGTTTGACACTTTAACTGGGCATCATGTGTTTTTATTTGCTAAATCCAGCAACCCTATGTACAAGTTACATTATACAACCCTCCACATCTCAAGGAAAANATATTAAATATACTGAATTATCAGTTTGACACTTTAATTTAACTGGGCATCATGTGTTTTTATTTGCTAAATCCAGCAACCCTATGTACAAGTTACTTTATACAACCCTCCACATCTCAAGGAAAAAATGCTTAATGCTTAATAGCCATAATTATTTTATTAACTTTTAAGAGAACTGCTATTTATATCTTGCTAAATTTAAAAAATACCTTTTCCATCTTCATTCTCTTTTTATATCTGATCCCCCTCTTTTTTATATACATTATCAGATGAAATATGTTAATTTAAATCAGAATAGAAATGAATTTAGGTTCAAAAAAGGAGTCAGTAAAATAGACCAGAACAGGGAAAATGCTATGATTAATAGCATCTTCAGGAGACCTCCACCTAACACATAGTAGTTGCTTAATAAATAGTTGTTTGAATGAACCTGTAAAGGAGCAGTGAAAAAGATCATCTTTCTTCTGGGAGTCTTTAAACCAGAAACTTTTCAAAGTTATGATTATCTAATTGGGCAAGATTTTGTAGATTTTTATATCCCAGAAAACTGATTCACTGTGGAGCTGACGGAAGCATCTAAACATACCACTTCAGCCCATAATTTATAGACCTTTCCAGCACTTCATCTTATACAACCGTTCTTCGAGTTTTGCTGCACAAAGAGTGGTCCAAAGACCATCAACATCAGCACCGACATCACCTACAGCTTGTTAGAAAAGCTGAATCAGACCATCTCTACTGAATCAGAATTTGCATGTTAGCAAGATCTCCATGAGATGGAAGCATATTTTAAAATTATGACTATTAAACATAATTCACAGACCAACTTTTTTAAGTATGGGCAATTCAGCCTTGAAAAACAAAACTAAATTCATCCCACCAGCTCCTAAGTTTTAAATCAATTAGCTGTTGTCCTGGCCAGTTTGGCTTAGTGGTTAGAGCATTGGCCTGAGAACTGAAGGGTCCTGGGTTCTATTCCAGGCAAGGGCACATACCTCGGTTGCAGACTTGATGTCAGGGAGTGTGCAGGAGGCAACCAGTTGATGTGTCTCTCTCACATCAATACTTATCTCTCTCTCCCCCCTTTCACCTCCCTACTTCCACTCTCTCTGAAAAGCAATGGGGAAAATATCCTTGAGTGAGGATGAAAAATAAAAAATAAAAATTAATTAATTATTTAATTAACTGTTCTTCCAAAGAGAAACAGCTTAGAAAGTAGAACTGTCCCATGATTTGGTACTCCCACAATTAGGATTAGAAACAGTCTGCACTATGGTTAAAGAAATGCCATTGTTTTCCAAGGAATCATCAATCTTCATGGCAAAGTTAAGCAAGTCGTTAACAGTTATTCTCAATCTGGTATTTTGTTTAACAACTGAGAAACTGTGAAAGTCCCCCATGGAAGAAAAGTTCACATGTACATAAACTCGGAATTTTGCATGAAGCTTTTAGAGATTCATGGAACTCCTGAAACCAAGTCAGTGAGCCCTAAATGTCCATAGAGTAAATTTAATTCTGTCTTCTACACAGAGCTGGGATGTTGATAGATGGATAAAGGATGGGTGAACTGAACGGCACATGAGCATTGTGCCACTCATGGATCTCTGATTTTTCATATAACTAAAGCTTATCCACACATCCTTCATTAAAGAGGTCTTCTTTTTCTAAGTAAAATTGCTTTTATGTGAAGAATCTGTAAAATGAGGGTAATTTTAGCAACTGTCCTTTCTTTACCTCAGCTGGCCTGGGAGCAGAAGTGTTGGTAAGGAGCATTAGAAACACGTCTCCTCCCCAAGTCCCCACTGCATTTAACGCAGGTCCGTACAGCCCAGAGCAGCTCCTTAGCAACTCCACAGAGGCCTTCACTAGAAGTACCACCGAGAACTCCAGCCAGAACAGCAGCCAGGGGCAGCACCCCCATCTGCCGATGACTGGAAGTACAGAGGCATCGTGGGTTCCCTGGACTTCTCGGCCTTTCGCCAGCACCACTAAAGAGGTAAGAGGACAAGGGGTAGAGAGTGTGGTTTGGGAAGCTCTCAGAAAGCCCATGGCTTGAAAAGACTCACTTTGTGGGGAATGCTGCTACTCAAGTGCATGATTAGGAGCTCTGTGTCCTAGCTGTAAATCGTACGTGAATGCATTTTGTGTGATGAGAAAAATCTTTAAAATTGAATGAAAAATTCTACATCTTTCTAACATGAACATAATTAGGTAGGCATGGCCAAAATTCTGAACGAAAGCCAGGGTTCATAGCCTTATGCATAACCTAAAACCAGGAAATAGAAATTGAAATCAAACCCTTGTAGGTCCCCCTGCATTTATGTCACAATCCTGTATGCTCATAAGGAAGGAGAAATAGTCACAAAGCAATGGAAGGTTTGGGGATCACTATTATTGATCTGTGAACGTGGTCAAGGAAGCTAAGGCTCTTACTAATTCCATGTCAGCATCCACAGGAAGACAGATTGGTCAAATGGCTGAGGGGAAGCGATGACATGGGCACAGAGACTGCTGGCATAGTGTTTCTGTCACAGGTGATCATCTCTTCAGTTTTGCTTCCCACCTGGGGTTTGAGGCCATCATTTTGGGCAATAACAGTGTAATTAAAGCAAATCCAACAAGCTAGGGTTTCACTTGATGGTGTCTAGTTGTTTCCTAATAAGCAACCCAACTAATTTAAAGAGAGCAAAAGCCCCACACTATGCATAGGACTTGTTCATTTTAGTTGCTTTGAGTTTTTGGGTTTTTCTTTGCTTTGTTATTGCATATGGTTTCCAGATAGTGAGCCAATACTTCATTATTGATGATAAAACAAATATTGCCGGTCCTTTGAACAATTCTTGGGATTTTATATTTATCTTCACTTTTCCTTTGCTATGAATCTCCCCTGTAACCTAGCTCTCCCCTGGCCTCTAAGTAGAAGTTAGGAAGGCCTCATGACTTTTCTGGACACTTTCCATCACTTTAAAACTCAAAATTCACTCTCAATCTATTTACAAAACTACCCACTTCTGGAAATAACCCAAACTCAATATTCAATTTAAATGTTAGCTCCACTTCTCTCGTCATCTATTATCAGTTTGAACTTGAAGTAGAAAAAGGGAGCATGTCTAGATTTTCTCACTCCCTGCTTAGCTTTTTACCCACCTCTTCTAGTTTGATCCTTATGGTTTCAGATCTTTCTGGGCCTGGAACGTGGGGAAGGAAGAAGGAAATGGAAGGAGGAGAGCTGGTACTTAAGAGTGTCATCATGAACTGGCACTGTGCTCCCTCCACCTCCAAACCCTGAGCCTGCACCGCTTCCTTTCGAACTGGAATGCTTCTTGGTGGAGCACTTTCTCACTTTGGCTGAATGTGTTTCTGCCAAAACTGCATTCTAACATCAGTTTAGAAAAGTATTCACTTACACATGAGCTTAAATATTAATACTTATTTTGTTCTGGACTGATATATGTATTTTTATGTGACAAATATATAACTAAGTGCATCAAATCAGAAACATACTGAAGAGAAATTACAATAGAAACGTATCTGCCTTACCACTAAAGAGCTGTCTTTTAGAAAAAAAATTTTTTCCTATTTTGTCCACACACATTGGGAGCTCCCAGAGGGGGCTGGCCGGGTTCTACTGGGATGAGTCCAGGACACCCAGCTCTGTTGCTCGGTTGCAGGCGTGCCAGCCTGAGCCCACCCAGCACTGGGTCACAGAGCTCAGGTGATCCAGCCCCAGAGCTGGGTTTGCAAGTTCAGGTCATGGCAAGTACACTGTGGGTTTTTTGGGATTTTTAGCCTTTTAAAAAAGTGAAATCCACAGCAATGGTTATGGCCTTTCAGGTGGGGCACCAGAATGACTATGCAACTAGCTCTTGTTCTGGTTTTTCTTGAGCTCAGGCAAAATCTTAACTCTGTCCTGGGAGGCTGAGTGTGTAGAAGCTTCACTCTTTCCAAAGGCAGGTTCTAAAACTTTAGCTTTCCATGACCCTCATACCTCAGTCAAAGCATCCCTGCCAGGTCATTTGATTTAGCAGAAGGATTTACTTTATAACAGTCCATTAGAAAGAGCAATAGTTAAGACACTTTGAAAAGTAAGTGAGTCACTTTTGAGGTAAAATGCCTGTCCTTTGAAGTAATTTTGTGGTTTTTTAAAATCTTGATGGGATTATTAATTAATTAATTAATTAACTAATTTTGTATTTTATTTTTTATTGGGGTGACATTGGTTAATAAAATTACATAGGTTTCAGAGGTACAACTCTATAATACCTCATCTGTATATTGTATTGTGTGTTCACCACCCCAGGTCAAGTCGCCTTCTATCACCATTTATCCTCCTTATACCCTCTTCTATTTTCCCCCACCTTTCTTTTCTTTTCCTTCCTTCCTTTCTTTCTT